ATATGGGGTCCGGAGGGATGATTTCTTTAATGGTCTATACCTATAGGGTTTAGGATTTTTTTCTTTTTTTCGGGCTTAGGGTTTAAGGCAGGGTCGAGGGGCCATGCCAACCAAAACATGCGAGGGACTTTGTTGAAAACATGGTGAGTAAGGGCGAGCGAATATCATTCCCTAATCTTCCTGGCAAAGGTTGACGGTATGAGGGTGCACAGGGTTTAGGGTTTAGGGTTTAGCATCCAAGTCCACAAATCTAAGGTGACAAACTCGTGCCCTAATGCCCAAACAATGGATCCTTACCAGGAAGCCCGATGATCCTCTGATATAAGAATAGCCCTCCCTTGGGTCCCTAACCGCCACAAGATGTCTCACTAAACCCAAAACCCTAAACCCTATACCCTACACCATAAACTGCCCGAAGAACCGCTCACAGGCTTCAACCTGCCTATGTGAACGGGATAGATGATACGCCGGGAAACCCGGCAACATGCATGGTCTTGAAAGCCAGACTCGCAACATGGTTTGGGGTTATACAGGGGTTACTGTATATGGGGGCTGTATAGGGGCTCTATAGGGATTGTACAGGGGTTATTCGGGGTTATATGGGGGTTAGTGTTAGTGAGGGGGTGGATAAGAGGCCCCTTGACCTCGAGACCAAACACCTGCTTCTTCGACTGGTGATGATGCATTTTCTTGCTCGCTGATGAATTCTGGCTCACTTCATTGTGTTCCCAATTGCTCTTGCTTTAAATCTGTACTTTGTGGCTCCTCCTGTCTCCCCCCAAGACTCTGCAACCCAAGTGCGTTCCCCGTGTTGACGGCAGCGCCATCTGGACTCTTTTGGCATCAGATAATTTGGGTCTGCAAGTACGAGAAGCTAGCGCTTATGCATGTTTGCGACCTACCCCATTTTGGGGAAGTCTTTGCAACAAGGAGGAAAACGTCTTGGGGTACATGGAGTCTTCCAAAAAATAGGGGCCGTTATAATGATGATTAGTTATTACTCTGCCATATATTGCGTTTCATGTTGAAGCCACCGGTTTAGGAAAACCCTCAGTATAGGGGGAACCCCAAACCCCAACGGTTAAGGGTTTAGGGGTTTAGGGATCTAGGGTTCAGGCTTTAGGGGTTTAGGGAAATCCACACAATCATGCAGCCAGTGGCAAAAGGTGCTCAGAGCCGTGCGCGCCCCGCGGGGCCTTCCGTGGGTCGAGGCCTTGGCATTGCTGTAGCTACCCCAGGAGTCCCCCTTTTCCCTTTGAATATTGAGGTATCCGTATTAAACTGAACATCGGGAAGAAGGGTACACTTATTAGTATGGGGCTGCTGGGGAACCTAGTGTTTGCAGGGTTAGTGGCCTGAATCATTGCCAGCAATGGAGAAGCAAATGGAAGGGAGCATGGAAACTGTGATTGTGTAGGGGTTTCTAGGTTACCAACCATTTTACCTTATAAACCTTATGACTAAAATCTAATCTGCTCCAAAACTCTATCCTAATTATCTAGGCCCTTACACCACAGTACGGATGCCTTGACATCATGGTGACCCGCCTGCACCAACATGAAAGTTCATGGAAAGACGTTCATCCAGCAAGGGTTGATAAAAGGGGACCATCAACTAGGGCCCCTCTTCAGCTTCCCTGTAGCAAAGAGTATATTACATATTGGGGTTCAGAATAGGGTCCCTGGTTATAGAAATCCGTAGCACCTCGTTTCCAGAAGCGCTGGGCCTGCCTTCACGCAAGCTTTCTCATAATTCAAACGCTCGGGTAGCATTTTGATGGGTTTAGGGTTTATTTGGGGGATACTAGAAACCCAAAACAAAATCAGCTCACATCCTTCTTTTGGATGTAATAGTTTCTAAGAGGAATCTATAACATAATATAGCCTTCCGGGCTTCGACCATCAAAACGACACTATTCACTTCTTGCCTGCAGGTCTCCATGATTGCGCTGCTAAATCCTGCGTACTTTGTAGGAACTCTTTGGACCCCCACTACCTGGTACCCCACTACTATTGAGGCCATATTCCTTCTTTATTTGAGTCTAAATGGGTAGTGGGGTACCAGGTAGTGGGGGTCCCAAGAGTCCCTAGGAGTACTTGTGATGCGTCATGACTTACCGGTTGTTAGTAGGTCAGGAAGGACGGATCCCGACAGTAGTCGCTACGTACTCCCCCCAAATACAGTCGTTGGCATTTTTTTCCATTCCTTCATTGCCTAGTAACAACTATGAACAGAAGAGAGACCGCGCGCCCCCAACCCAACTTTAGATGAGCTTTTGTCTAAACTCCTCAAGAGCGTAATATAGGGGAGTATTATAGGGGTTATTAAAGGGGATAGTGGCAGTTTAGACTGTATCGCGGATCAACACAAGGCAGCATGGACACGAGCTGCTTCCTTGCCATTTTAAGCTCTGGGGTGAATGTATAGGCTATATAGGGATGTAGAGGAATAATCAGGGATGATTTTGGATATGCAATACTTGAATAGAATGGAGAATCGAATGGAGAAGCAATCAGATGAAACGGAAACTGACCCTCGCGATTCTGTATTGGATGCTGACTGTGATGGATACTGCTCGCACTGAGTAACAGTTGGCAACTATGGTATGAATATACGAAGCTTTAAATGCTTGCCCGAGCATATAGACACTGACCGGGCGGGCGGTTCAAGCAGCCAAATTCTTACCATTGAAGAGGGGACTTCTGAAACCATAACCTCATAACCCCTAGAATAAGGCCCTTAGTGGGGGGGGGAGTTAGTAAGTCCCTCCCGAATATATCAAAATTGAGCATGTATGGATGAGTAGTTAAGGCTTTTGTGCTGCCTAGGTAGGCTCTCCTCCGTTTTACCAGCAAAGCCATGCATTCAATATTGGCTCTTCTCAACATGAGCCATAACCCAAACTTCTTAAAGGGGGTTGTATGGGGGATGATCTAATTCTTTCTCGGTTGTTAAGAGAGAAACTAGGAGTTTAGACTATGGCTCAAATCGCGTGCCTTGTCATACTTGGACAGACTGTATACCCTCAACAAAGAAACCCGGATCCCTGAAATTCCTTATGCAGGTAGACAAGAAAACAATCCCAACCGGAAAAAAAGGCGTTTCGGCCCAACATTTGCCATGCACAAAAAGGGCCCCTGACTTTACCCCTCACCATGTAACATGGACATCGAAGCTACAATCCGCATAGTCAATGCCAGATTCAATCTCCCCAACACTCTCTTATAGTCCCTCACATCCATACAGTCCCAAAAGGCCCTAATCCCCAGAACCTCAAACCTTAAATCTGAAGCCAAGCCTGAGGATTTAGGGTCTTGGGTTTAGGTTTTAGGGTTTAGAATCTAGAGTTTAGGGTTTAGGATTTAAGGTTTTGGGTTTAGGGTTTAGAATCTAGAGTTTAGGGTTTAGGCCGTAGACCTTCAGGTCAGATTTCCAGAGAGTGTCTCAGGCATTTTGGATCCTACGGGCAGTCGGAAAGAGGAGAACAAACTAGATTCCAACTTCTGAGACCAAGCCAAACCCTTGAACACCTGAACCCGGAACCCCGAACCCTAAACCCCGAACCCCAGACCCTGAAGTGAACCATGGCCTAAACTCCTTACATAGGGGTTAAATAGTGGATTATATACAGGAGTATTATAGGGGTTATTGAGGGGGCTACTACGAATTTAGACTATGGCTCAAGTAAGCAAGCGCTACATCCTAAACAGACTCTAAACATTGCAGCTTAGACTCTGAAGCCCCACTGACTTACTGGTGGCTAGTGGGGAATAGGGGAAAATACTCCCTATGTATTTATTCTCTTATTCCCTACTCACCTCTTCCCCCCCCCCCGTAAGTACAATCCAGTAAGTACAATATCCCAGTATAATCCCCAATATACTATAGCAGTTGCCACCTTCTTTTCCATTCGTTATATACAGATAAATATGTATAATCCCTGGGTTCAGGCCTTCGCCTCCACGCCAAAGCCGCGAGACTTTTGCGGGGTGCGGGCGTACAGATGTCACATTTCAGGGGTTCAGGGAGTTTTAGGATTCCTTGGTACGGGAATTCAGGGTTTGATTGGTTCAGAGTTTAGGGGTTCAGGGTTCAGGGGTGCAAGGTTTGGAAGTTTGGGGCGTGTAGAGGTTCAGTGTTTACGGTTTAGGAATTTGGGGCTTCGAGTTCGGCTCCTGGAGTTAAGAGGTTTGGGGTCTTCCGTGTTTCGTAATCTATGCTAAGTCTTTTAGTGAAGGTTCCCAAAAATAAGGGGTACTATCTGGGGGTCTCATTTGGGGTCTACATTGGGGTCCCCCAGTGGTCCTCCTTTCTCACGGAAACTATATTAAATGCGGACGGGGATGTAGAAGTTGTATTGTGGCTGCCGGGATAGTCATAGGCTGCCACTCTTGTGCTCCAGCCTCGGCGCCAGATAGCACCAGAAAGCAAGTGTTTGCCATCTAAGGCACCTTCAACACAGGCAAATATGCGCAACAGACAGCCCAGAGCAGCAAGCTCAAAACACTGCGCAGTGTGACTTCCCACGAAACCCCCTTTGGTTTCGAGACATGCGCTCATGTTAACATTCCACGCGCGGATGCGTAAGCCGGAGTGCATGCCCTGATTCGTCCTGATTCGCGACATACATGCCCCTAACATATTGCTTGTAATCACGACCGAAGTCCGCATCAAGCAAAGTCATGTCATGTGCGACTTCGGATGACAGGCCCAACGGCTTCACAGATGCGTTGCCCAAGCCTCATCCGCAGTTGAATGGGGTTTAGAAAGCTTTTGAATTGGCGGTCGACCCCGTGGCGGCGCGGCATCCTCTGTGGCCAATGAGCGACCCCAATCAGTGCGGACCTTTTGTCGTTCAGGGGATTCGGACCTGCTATCCTGGACAATCTTGTTCAAGTAGATTGTGCAGGCATCAAGCGCAACTGTAAGATTCTTGGTGTTGCAATGGCCCCAGGTCAGGATCTTCAGAACTCTGGGCAAGCCCCAGTTTGCGTAGGGATATGCCTGCTGCGATAGCCTCGCCATACTGGTTTTCTGAGACTTTTGGCTTCAGTGAGGAAGGCTATGACAAGACCAAGGAGAAGTTCGTTTTTGCAGACGATGTACTGGAAAGCAAGGCCACTGGACGCCGCTTCCACGTAGGACCTTGGGCTCTGGCTTCGGTTCAAGAGCTTCGCACGCAGTGCGAGGGAAGAGGCACTGCGAGCGCTTTGGGTGGCCTGACATTCAGTAATGTTTGCGGAAATGCGCAGACGTTGCACCGAGACCCCACGAACGTGGGATCAGTCTTTCAGGTTGCTTCGCAGTTCAACTGCCTGGAAATGAACGAGCCAGGGGCGCGGCCCGAAGACGGGGTGACCCGGTATTACAGCGATGCCACGCAGGGCCCCGCTTGTGCCATCAGCTGCCCTGCGGGGACCGTGTTCCGGAACTACTTCGTGAACGGCAAGGGTCAAGGGCGTGGACATCAGCTGGACGGCCTAGCGGACATTGCAGAGCTTGTGGGGAACTCCAAGGAGAAGTACTGGCGGATGGTGAACGGCTACTGCCTGCCGGTGGATGCAAAAAGCATCGGGCGGCTGAGCAGTCGCCTCAAAGAGGACGAGAAGCTTTCAGATGAGCTCCGAAGCCGACTGCGCATCGGAGTGCACTGGGATACGGAGGTGGCCAATAAGGATCACCGAGTTTGCCAGGTCTTTTGCTCTGCGCTGCCCGTCGCCTATGCGAAAAGCACTCGCTCTCAGGACTGGGAGGCCTTCGGCCGCCTTGTCCTTCAAGGAACCTTTGAAGCTACGTTAGCAGCCGGCGCGGTGCTGGCTGCCGAGCGGGGAACCCGCATCAAAGTCTACCTATCTGCGGTGGGTGGAGGTGCCTTTGGGAATCGCACAGCCTGGATTGTGGAAGCCATCGACCGGGCGCTCCGGATCCATGCAGACTCACCCCTGGATGTCATGCTCGTGCACTTCGGCACAGTTCCACGAGGAGCTTATGCAGACTTGGCCAAAGGTCGGAAGACACGACCGGCCCCGAAACCGGCACCAAAGGCAAAGCCTGAGCCCGATCCTGCCGCAGCTGCGGAGACTGCAGAGCCTGTGGAGCCCGGATCAGAGTCGAAGCCCGCTGACGCGCCTGCGCCTTCGCTGGAGCGCACGGAGAGCGGAGCCGTATCGATCTCCCGGGCCTTTGCCAAGATAGACACCAACAATGATGGAGTCATCAGTGAAGCTGATATGAAATCGGTGTTGAAGGCGCTGGTACCAAGCCTGTCAGATGAGGACATCAAGGCCATGTTTGTAGCAGCAGATTCCAATTCCGATGGCGAGGTGCACTATGCGGAGTTTGCAGCGTGGATCACTAGTGAGGATGCCTCCAGTGTAATGGGACATGTCTTGCATCTGGCTAAGCCAGAGGCACCTGCATCGTAGCAAATGCCGGTAGCATAAAAAGCAGTCGGATTCAGCTTGAAGGTTCCCTAACCACAGCAACATAGCAGGTTTAGGATTTAGGATTTAGGGTTTAGGGTGTAGGATCTCCTTGTCATACCGAGGCAGCCCTTGCATCTAGGCCCAGAAAACAAGGACATCCTACAAGAGCCTGTGAGCCCCTGAGCCCCTGCAGCAGTTCTGGAATAAGGTCTCGGCCCACGCCTGCCTACCCGAGCTCCGCGCCGGCCGGGGCCCAGCAAGCCTCGTTGGATAGCGTTGTCACTATGATCATTTCTACTATGTATGATTATTATCACCACTATTATTATTATTATCACCACTATTATTGTTAGTACTATTATTATTACGATTACAATGACGATTATTAATCATTTCTATTATTGCTAGGTTTCGGGTTTAGGAGGACCACTTCAGAGATCTTCAGGGCCGGGCTTTGCTCACAATTGTTTGAGCAGGGTTCCGAGCATCTTCCGAGTGTTATGGCAGGGAAAGGATCATCTCAAAGCCTTTGAGGGCTGTTGACGGCCTGTCCGCGGCTATGTAACCCTTGAGGCGCTGATCTGCGAGTAAGATCCCTGTGGCTACCTCTATAATGAGAGGGTTCTGGGACTCAAATACGCAAGGCCCCTAACCCATGGGCCCAATCACTACCGATCTTTGTTTGGATTATGTCCTCCCGGATAGCATGCCTTGGCTCGCATCCCATGAAGCTCAACACAAGGAGCCGTCGCGGCAGTTCGGTCACCACCAAGCTGTTTCAGGCCAGAGGGGCGTTCACTCACGTTCGGACGTTTTGGGTTCTGAGGTTGAGAGGGTCTGGGAGTCAAATCCTTACTTCCTTTTGCGCATGAGGTTGGATGGTGCATGGCGATGTCTGAAGTGCCGGGCTGCCTACAATTCCTAAGTGATTGATGGATCCATGTGCGGATCCATGCCAAAGTAGATCCTCTTGGGATTTTTTTTATGCTTGAAAACTCGCAGTTCCAGTAGCAATGAGGGCTGATGGAGTAAATCGCGCATCTCCAGATAATTGTCAGGATTTACAGGGGTTTAGGGATTCTTTGCGGTGCACGATGTCCTCATCAACGGTGAGAAGGGAAAAACTCAAGCCCTACTCAGGTAATATCCCGTAGTCACCTAAAGTCGCCCTTATGAATACAAGTCTCTTGCAATCCTCAGCAAAGTACATTGCAGTAGAAATTACCGTAGATTATCCTAGAGCTTGTGATTCCTCTTCTGGGTGATAAACGCCCATATGACCTACTGAAAATTCGAATGTAGCTTATTCCCATGCAATTTGCCAACCAAAACCCCAACCTTAAACCCTAAACCCTAAACCCCAGGTTGTAAAAAAAAGACCAGCCCACCAGCCAGGCACTGGTGCCCCAGAGATTCTGAATGGCCGGGAAGCGCTACCGACGGCGCCATCAGGCAGCGCAGGATGATGTGCTGTAGGGGTTTCCCAAGATTTCGGGCATTTTGGGGGTGTATAGGGGTTCATAAGGGTCATATGGGGGAATGTATGGCTCATATGAGGGTACCGGGTTTAGGGATTGTGGTAGTTTAGGGTTTCGCGAAAAGTGGAGTCCCCATATTTGTGGAAACTAACATTTCTGTGTGATTCGGAGCGCAATCGTACATCACCCCCCCCCCCCGAAGGTGCCCGGCAAGGGCTCAAGTTGGTATGCCCCCTTTTCTGGAGTGCTGTTAAGGAATTTATTCTAAGTTAAGATATGGGTATGTAGTGATTAATAGGGTCTCCTTGCTATACTTAAATTAATTTGCCGAACAGCAACCCAGCTTCTGGAGGGTGTGGAACCCTATACCCTAAACTCACTCTACATATCCGTACATATACCTATATAGCCCCAAACCGGGTGGGGCAAACCGACAACGAGGGTTTAGACCAGAGCCCCGCACTCAGACAGGCGCGGCATCTGCCACGCAAGCAGCACCCGACGTCCAAGTCGAGGCTCAAGTCTTTCAGGGATTTTAGGGTTAAGGGTGAAGGGTTTAGGGTATAAGGTTTAGGGCTTAAGGGTTTAGTGTTTTCGTGACGTAGGAATTTCCATTAATTAGAGATACCCTTTTTGGGGGTCCGTATACTGAGGTTTATAGTATTTTGGGGTCTATATTGGGCTCCCCATACTGTGCGAAACTACCATGTAGGAAAATTCAACGGCCGGCTGGAAGACCATTATTTTGAATATTCCTATTGTTATTCGTACTGGCAGTCGTAATGACATTGCTAGTAGAAGTAGCTGGCAGGAGGGAGCCACTCTAGAAGTCTGAATGTCCTGTGGTGGCAAGCCTGCAGACCCCGCAAACCTGACGCCACGGATTCGAGAGCCCCACTTTGAATTTTTGTTTGAGGTGACGCACTTATACCCTAAACCCTAAACCCTAAACCCTCATTTCGGCTTTTGTTTCCAAGCCCCAGTGCCCCTAACCTTTCGAGCCAGCTCTCAACTGGCCAAGTGAAATTCCTCGAAGCTTGTGCGGACAGAGCCTAAATCATGTATGCAGTCCCAACACCCCAAGTTCTGAAAGTCTGAAGCGTTCCGCCCCAAAAACATATTCTGGCTACCTTGAATAAAGAGGTGGGATTTTTCTCGGACATGACCTTGTGCAGGGGTCCAGAGAGGACTCCATGAAGCAGATGCAACACAGAATTAGCCCCGTTTTTGACCTGATTAACATCTAGCCCTGGGCGACAGTCTTAAACCCTAAGTAGTAGCTTCCTTTTTATTTTCCATCATCCCTACAAAACCCAAGATATTTATATACGTACCCTATATAACCCATTGTAGTAGTTTCCATCCCTATGTCCTGTATTCTGGGGCGGTAAATGATACAGGGAAGCGATTTCATGGGTTCCCATGGCCACCACATGGCACCACTACCTCTTATTCGAAGAGCCTCAACCCCCAAACCTCTAACCCTGGTTACACAGCTTGCGCACTGTTATGACTACTCCTCATCCTGAAGCCTTTTAGCTGTTGGAGGTCCGCGGAAGTGGGAATCTACCACCCGCCTGGCGCACCTGGGACGAGGCCTGCCATGTCCCTGCTACTGGTGGGCTACTCGGGACTATGTAGCATCTTTGAAAGTGATTCCCCTAAGATACTGTGAGATGACATTTAGGTCACAGTCCTTCACGAGAACAAGCAATTGTTGCTAGTGTCAGCCACTCAAAGCACACTATTCACCTGGGACTTTATTTGTGGTTTACTTCATTAGTTGGATATGGAGTTGTCTGCATTTTGGTTTTCGGGGAGTGTATGTGGGGGGGTTCCTTAGGCATATGGGTGAGTGTATATATTTGGTGTCTAATAAACTGACATCCCTGCCATGCAGACTCTCAGCTTTTAACATACTACAAGCCAAATAAATAGGAACCAAAGTCTGAGTCAGCTGGGATTGGTGCACTAACAGGTTTGCGCGAAAGTGCCGCCCTTTCTTCGAGCAAAGGGCAAGCAGTATGAGAGTGCTTCCCAGTGCGATGCCTATGCAATCCAGTCTGCATACATCCCTGGAATCCGAGCTAAGGAACTTCCACATACTTGGGATTCATTGGGATATACATGTTTGAGCGTTCCCAGTCCGTTGATATAACAACCCTGTTTGATGACTTTTAACATGCGGCCCATGAAGATTCTAAGGTCGCCGTCCACAATATGTTTTCTCAGAGAAAAAGGGTGCTCAATGATTATGGTGGAAGACAGCCCTGGACCCTAAACCCTAAACTCGAAACCCTCAACCCTAAACCTGAAACCTCAAACTTGAAACCCTAAACCTGAGACCCTAAACCCTAAACCCTTTCTGTCCATTTGTGCGCTTGGTAAGCTCAAGGCTTGGTGCGGTAGAGGTTCCCAAGCTTTGCATTCGGGGCCTTGTGACCCATCCCTAACTTGTTGGTTGTGAGTGAGAAGGGCACAAGGCAATGCGTTGTATAGGTAATCTATAGGATTATAGGGAATATATTCCCTTCTTCCCTGCTGAGAACCAGTAAGCTAATCCTGCATCCCTTCCTGTAGCTTCGCAGAGAGAGCTTCCTACGTCAGGTGACATTTCCACCTCGCGTGCGGGCGCCCCTGGTGTCCGCCGGTTTTCCTGCCGCAGCCTTGGGTTCCAGACTTTTTCTGACTCAAGGTTCAGAGTACATAGACTATGGGATGTATGGAGCTCTTGTGATGATTTTGGCCAGTTTCATATTCTATTTACTTAAGGGGGACTATAGGTAGTTCAGCATGCGGGGTGAGGGCTAGGGATTAGCTGTGTGGGGCATCCTTCATTGCCGTGTTCGAGGTTGAGCTTCTCTCGCTGGCTTTTGAAGAGATGGTTCTGGGCCCCTTCATTTTGTCTAGATGTCACATGAAACCAGAAGGTCAACAAAGGTGGCGGGATCGAATCAAGTGATGGCGATAGGCAAACAGAACGGAAGAAGACGAGTCTAACCCCCCAAACCCTCAACCCTATATAACCCCCACTAAAGTAGTTTCTATTTTCTTTTCCACTCTCCCAATATAGCCCTTACATAATCCCTATGTATCTAAACCCGTGAGACCTAAACCCTAAACCCTTAAAACCCTAAACCCTAAAACCCCAAACCCCTAAAACCCTAAACCCGTAAATCCCTAAACCCCTTAACCCCTAAATCCCAAAAACCCAAAGCCTTAGCCGAGGCACCGACAGCAATCCAGCAACATTCCTGGCCAATCCTCTCGGCAGGCCGCAGTTATAGGGATTCTATGAGGGTTTAGGGTTTAGGGTTATAGGGAATATATTGGGGGTTGAATATACGGGGTTTAGGGAACATTTTTTAGGGGTTTTATAGGGGTTATAGGGAATATATTAAGGGTTAAAGAGGGACTATAGGGAATATATTAGGGTTATTTTTGGCGGTATGACGGGTGATTTCGGGAGGGTTTATATAGGGCTTATATATATATATAAATTTTCGCTGCGCAAGCCTTGGA